GAGCAGATCAGAAGTTATGACACGGACAAGCACAAACCTTGTATAACCTTTGACCTTGATTTGTGACCTTGAAGCCGGGGGTGATGAAAAGTGTGTTTGACACTTTGGCTAGTAATAATGCATATGGATATCAAGTTTCATTAAATTATGTTGAGCGGATTACAAGTTATGGCCAGGACAAGAGAAAGTTTATGGACTGATGTCCAGACGGAGACTATACCATTAAACAACCGTCTCTCGATGGCGAATAAGAAAAATACAAACTGAGTTACAGTGTCCCTAAAAAAAGTTAAAGAAAATGCCACATAAGAGCAGAAGAAAAACGACTCAGGACTATTAGAAGGTTATATATATTAAAAAGCAATTCCTGAGAAAAACTAACACTTTCACTCGTGGCTATAGTTGTTAGTAATTCAGCTATTTTCAATATACATTTATATTTCTGATTTAGGAAGTTTAAAATGACAGCCTATGAACCAAAGCAGACTTGTGTGGATTAAAACTCACTGAATAGAAAGTTTCCCTGTTTGTGGTTGAAGCGGAGGACAGCGAGAGACTTCCTGCTGGCTCTGAACTCGCCGTAGGCCACGTTGTTTCTGGGATGAACCAGTTTGACCAGTCCTCTCTTCCCACCAGCAGCCAGAACGCTGCAGAGCTGAGCTGCTGCCTCTCCTCCGCTGGACATCAGCACTGTGGACCAGGCCAGGGAGAAGAACTCCTGACGGTGGGAGGAAAACTGTCAATCTAAAAGCTACCGCGACTAAATAAAATGACAACTGGAGCACGAGCCAAAACAAAAGGCACATCCTGCGTCTGGAGCGGTCAGAACCAAGTGGACGTACTTCTCCTGGAACTTTGTATTTCTTCATCACCATCCCGGTTTCACAGTCAATCACACAAAGAGAGTCTCCTCCACAGGTGGCGACCAGGCGGCTTCCCCCACCACTTCCTGTCATAGTGGGAAGAGGACAAAAAAAAAAAAAAAGAAAGTCTAATTTTAAACAGTAAAGTCTTTAAAGTTTGGCCTATGTTCGAGCGGATGAGGCGCTCATCAGGCGTTCATCGGTACCGGAGGAATCTGGAAACGGCTGGAAGGCGCAGCTCCACAGCTGGGTGGAGAAGTCCTCTGCGCTGTTCTGTTTACTGTGACACTGCAGCACGTGAAGCTGCTCCAGGCGCACGGGCTGCGGCAGGAGGGAAACATCGCAGAGGAGTAACAAGAAGGGAGAACAAATGAGAACAGGCTTCGAAACGTTTTTTAAAAATACAACACCAACGAACAAGAGCTGTTAACTAACTATGCATCTTAATAAGTTGCACATCAACAGGCGTAAAGACTCTGTTATCTTATTAGTTTAGCCAATTAGTGAGATAATTAAAAAAACATGACAAGTGCATATATATTTATATACAAGGTTCAAGGTTCTTTATCGTCATTCGCATCACATGTGGTACATGAGGTAGGACAAAATTGTGTACTCGAGGTCCCAGTTACACCCAAAAATATCAAAAATATAAAGTATACAAAGAAACGGCATACAAGGATCTAAGATGTACACTAAACAATAATACGGTATATTAAACAGCAGCCTGAACATGAGTCTGTAGTGAGCAGATGGATATGAATACAGCAGCTTATATAAATCTAGATACAAAGATGGATGGATGGATGGATAGATTAGAAATAATGGATGGATGGGTAGATGGATGGGTAGATGGATGGGTAGATGGATGGATGGATGGATGGGTGGGTGGGTGGGTGGGTAGGTAGGTAGGTAGGTAGGTAGGTAGGTAGGTAGGTAGATGGATAGATGGATAGATGGATAGATGGATAGATGGATAGATAGATAGATAGATAGATAGATAGATAGATAGATAGATAGATAGATAGATAGATAGATAGATAGATAGATAGATAGATAGATAGATAGATAGATAGATAGATAGATAGATAGATAGATAGATAGATAGATAGATAGATAGATAGATAGATAGATAGATAGATAGATAGATAGATAGATAGATAGATAGATA